TATGAACTTTTAAATCCTGCAGTTTGGTCGTACAGTTTGGGCTGTAGCTGCGAGCAACGATTGAAACTATCGTACAGTGGACGCCCGGCGTTACTGTTTCTCTCTATTATCCGTCTGAATCCCTTCCACCAGAGCTGCTCCATGTTTATCTGCTTGTTAGATCAGAAGCGACTGGCGCGGGGTGTTGACGTCCGTACGTTGCGTTCAATGGTATCACGTAATTTAGCCGGTCGACTCGGGTAGAAAGGCGTCAGTGAGCTGTTCCAACAGCCAATAAAAGCAGGTTACACCGGTTTAAACTGGTTTTTCAGTCAGTGGGAAAGGGGCATAAGTGAGATGGAGAGTACGATGAAGGGACAGCAGGAAGGTCTGGAGATTACCTAGTTCTCCAATGGTAGGAGAAGTAAAAGAGCTACGACAAGAAGATTAAAACATTGTTTTGATTAAGTACTTTTTTAAAGTTTCATTTCTGAAATACATCTTTTTTTTCTTCTTCCAGATTTCAATTTAGAAAAGGACGAAATTGTGCAAAATTCCCTCCATAGAAATCTAATCGGATGAGCTGTTCAGGTTAGCATGAGGAAAGCCGACGCTTTTTCCTGCTCGAGTTAAATTAAATCAAATGAGCAGATTTCAGATCAGACACTTTTAACTACGGTCAAGATTAGCAGGAAAGTATCATGAAATACTGAGCAAGCGCTAGCTAGGTTGACTGATCACAGAACATTTGAAGAAATCCTAGAAGTATTTCTTCTCCTGCAATATCGGGATAAGGACAGTTCACCAGACTGGATGATCTGTAAAGTGCTATGAGATGACGTGTTGTGAATTGGTAGCCTCGTGAGACCATCCTGATCTCGCGAGCTTTCAAGGTTTCACTCGGTAATCAGTCTGGAGACTCTCCGTTNGATTTAAAACGTCATTAAATTAAGCGTTCATTTCCGCATGTTTTGCTCCTACAAGTTTAATAATAATAATAATAATAATAATAATAATAATAATAATGCGCATGCTCTCTTTTCGGGGTCCAGGGAAGTCGGAGCAGAGCAGGACGGGAGGAACAGCGGAGGCGGTCTGGAAAGGAGCGGAGGATGTGAGACTTTGGTCTAACGGGTCACTGTTTGTTTTTGTCATCATTTTTCCTGCCACCTGATAAAAAAAAAGTCTTTCCAAAGGAATCCTTCAGAACTCACCCTGGACTTGAGGGAACCTCCCCAATTTTCATCCACACACCTCCAGGATGGCTCCAGCGTAGAGCTGCAACAGGAGACAGAAAAGGCAAACAATGGAGTCAGGATAGGCTGGAAGCAAGACAGCCCTGGCTAACGAATCAAACGCACCCTTTAAACTGGATGTTTAAACCGTTAAGACTGCTGGGCAAGACAGAGGGGACAGCAAATCTACACTCAGCAGCTGATAAAGACACTCCAACATCTTTAAGATCAGAACAAAAAGCAAGAGTTCAGGTTCACTGGGTCTGTAATGTAAACAGGCCTGAAACGGTTAATCCTGATTAACTCAGATGCATTTCTATTGGTCTGCTGGATGCTAGCAAACATCTTTATTGGTCAAGTATCGGGCTAATCGCTTATGAGCTCAAAGTGAAGAGAACGCAACTAAACTAAAGCTAAAAAATACAATTAGAAAATATAAAAAAGATGTTAATTTAAATTAAAATAATGAGAAAGAAGAAATAAATCTGAGAAAACAGCAAAGAATCGTTTGTAGGAGTTAAGAGATAATCTCCTAATCACCATTTTTCTCCTTTGCTAATCTGCTCTCAGGTACGAACATATTTTCCGAGCGCTTCACGTAGGAGTCCAGGACAATCAGTCAGCTGTTATCTAACTCTAGCGTTTCAATGAATGTCTCTATTTGTTATTTTAAAGCAATCGTCCGTTTTATTAGGCTGCATCATTAAATATTAAGCAGTTCTGCAATCCTAAATTACATTTTTTAATTCACTGATGACAGAACTATGGGTCGCTGGTATCCAGGGACGCTGGTTTCATTTGCCGTGTCGGTGGAGGAAAGTCAGTGACTCGATATTCTCGTTCCCACTAATAATATCAGGTTAATCCGCTAGCTTAGAACGGAGATTTGAAATGCAGGCTGATATATTTCGACGTTTTTTTTCTGGCTAATATCGGACCGATTTTCTGTATCAATAGATCCCGACATTCCAGTTATCGTTCTCCGAGTAAAATCCCTTCATCATGCATTTTCTAATATGCCAACAAACAAACTAATGAATAAGAGTATTTACGATTCATGCCGATATAGTATCAGTTCAGTATCGGTACCGGTCAGTTCTCAACGTTACAATATCAGTATTGAATCAGAAATAAAAAGACCGTATCGGGATAGTCGTTTAATTCTTACTCCGTCATTCAATTTATTTGTATTTTCTCAAATTCACAACCATATCTTTGAGCTTTATCTATATCTAAAGAACCAAGAAACAATGTGACATACAAGCGTCTTTTTGACTGAAAAATAGCGGGATAAAGCGTTTTTTTTCTAACATGGGTCGACTTGCTAACAATCAGCATTTTGCTCCCTTCCCATTGGCTAATAAAGCTGGAAGCTGCGTGGCGTCTGTCTACTGTCTACTACGGTCAAGATTATCAGGAAAGTATCGTGAAATAATGAGCAAATGCTGGTTAAGCTGAATGATGACAGAACATTTGAAGAAATCCTGGAAGTATTTCCTCTCCTGCAATATCGGGATAAGGACAGTTCACCAGACTGGATGATCTGCAAAGTGCTTTGAGATCTGTTGTGAATTAGTGCTATAGAAATAAACTGATTTGCAAAGTATGGACGATTGATTATTTCTGTCTTTTGCGGTCGTTTCTGCTAACATCGAGGATATTTGTATTATATGCAAATTATTTGTGAAACTGATTGATTGGATAGGCGCTGACCTTGTTTTTTTTTTGTTTTGTTTGTGGTTTTTATTCAGTGGAGGGCTGGGGAAGGTTGTACAGAAATATGTTCTAAAAATCATTAAAACTTTATTAACAAAAAAAGATTAACAGGAAACTGCTTCTCTAAGCAACAGTTTGAATTCATATTGTGAGGAGGAGGAGGAGGAGGAGGAGGAGGAGTAATCTTGGCTGTAAGCATCTTAGTTATCATCAAGAGGTGTAATGAGGTGTTCACTTCTGAGAAGGTGCTGTTGCTAGGATACCACACATCCACTCCAGGGGATTTGATGAAAGGAAAGGAAGAAAAAAAGGAAAAACAAAGGAATATGCCCCCCCCCGATATGCCTTATTTATCCATGGGAGGGTGGGGGGGTGATTTAACCAGAGGTGGCTTATGATCCGCTTCGTCATCCTGGAGTGTTAGAGAGACAGAGGGAGCAGATCTGAAGCCAGTGTCAACAAACCCACTGACAGGGGGGGGGGGGGGGACAAACTCAGCTGCTTTAAGCAGCAGGGAACTGCAGAAAAATGCAACTATCAATAAAGATGGCGTCCTCACATTTCCTTCTTTTTAAATTGTTTCACAAATCATATTTTCTTCACCTCTTCAGCTCAATCCTGACATTGAATCTCATGAAAACAGCAGATTTTATTCTGAAGATTTTTTATTTGTTTTATTCGTTTGGCTTCTTTGTTAGCCTGCAATGCCCTACACCTGTCTATGTCTCTGAAAGGGGGGTTGTTAAAGGGAATTGTTGGCCTGGCTGAATAGGTGAGGTCTTCTGTTCTTCTGTAAAGGGAACAGAAGCCCCCCCTATTCAGCCCCCCGCCAAATATGAAATGTCTTTAAATTTAGAAACAAAGTCCAGAGGATTGTT